TCCCCACTTTGTACTTAATTAGAATACAAAAGACAGAAAATAAAATAAAAGTATTTATAGTAGTGATTTCCATCTCAATACATCAAATCAGTAATAATTAAACATCAATTGTACTTCTGTATTAATATTATTTCAGATAATTAATTCAGATATTTTAGAATAAAAACAAATGCCTCAACTCAGAAAAAAAGTGCTGCATTTAGACATGTATTGAATTGTACAACATGCAAGATAACAGAAAATCTTAGTTGGATTTTGTACAGGTATCTCTGTTAAAAACTAATGATTTACTGAGACAAATATGAACTGTCTCATTATATTCATTGTACCATGACAATATTATTTGAAAAGTAAAAAGCGCCCTCTCAGGGTAACTATCATGTTGCAAGCTCTGCTTTGTATGCAAATCAACTTCAGCCTTGAAGTATGTACCATGTTTCTAAAATAGTTAGTTGGTGTCCAAAGAGAGAAGTCAACAGTACTGTTACCTCCTGAGAATCTATATCTTTGCAGTGTATATTCTGTGTATTTTCAGAATACTATTACTTCACAGTGTCTGAGCCTTCAGTCAGCTCATAGTCAGAGATATATATGACATACAAGTATTATCCATTTTTTCAGTCAATTAATTTTACTGTATTGTAACCTTGTTGGTTATGTTTCTCAAGATTGTTTACTGCTTATAATCTCCAGTCAGTTCAGAACAAATTTATTCAGGTTAAATCAAATCAGTAATAATTGAACATCAATTGTACTTTTGTATTAATATTATTCAGAGTAATTCAGATATTTTAGTTTAAAAACTAGTTTAGTATAAAAACAAATGCCTCGTCTCAAAAAAAAAAGTGCTGCGTTAAGACGTGAACAGAATCGTAAAAACATGCAAGATAAAAGGAAAAAGAAATCTAAATTAGATGAATCAAATAATGATTTTAGTGTCAATGAAGAAATCAAAAGTCATGGAAAAAATTATCTGAATACAGACTTAGTTGCATTTTTACCTTGCCCGTACCATCAAAGATGGAAGGGAAAGGTATATTAAGGGAAAAATTTTGTCCGGCGTTGTCGTCGTCGTGTGTTGTTGTTGTGTCG